TTGTTTTAAGGATTGGGGCAGGAGGGATTAGGGGTCCCCCCCCCCCCCGCCCCCCCCTATGGCTGAAATCCGGCCTTGTCGTTGAAAACCCTTCGTACCCACCAGGAGGTCGTCAATAACAATCACCTGAATGCAAGGTGGTCGCAGGAAGAGGAGCCCCATGAGACCCTCTAACTCGTGGGGACAACCCCCCCCGCTCCCCCGCGTTTTTCAGGCGCAGATACGTGGGTGGCCGGACCGAGCATGTGCCAAGCTCGCTGCGGCATGGGCGTGACCGCCTTGCCAGACGGGAAGGTCTTTGCCGTCGGCGGTTACGGGGGAGATTTGGTGTACCGGAGCTCTGTCGAGGTGAGCTATCGATCGATCCAGTAGCCTCCTCGCGAGGACATCAAGCTTGGTTTTAGCAGGGGAATAGGGTTAGGGAAAGGGGTACGAAACCGCCCTCTCTATTCGATCCCTGGTATTGTAGTAATAGCAGCGAAAGTCCCCGGGAAGGCAGTCCGACCGCGTGCGTACTGCCCCCCGGCGAGGGGGGTTTCGGCTGGGCGTGAGGGTATGGTTATCTCCTTCTGGTTTGTGGCTTTGCCTCGACTGCATTTCAGATACTGCTGTACCTTGAAGCACGCGTGTGAGCGTGGACCAGCGGCATATCCATCTCCGAGTTTTTGTAGACCCCGTCTCCTTGAGGGTAGCTTTGGGTCACGCACAAACCTCATCAAAGTATTTTTTGACGGGCGTGTTTGGGGATTAAAGCACACGTATTTGAACCCGAAGCGGTTAAGGTTGGCTCTGCCCTCTGTCATCATTCTCTCTTGCCGAAATCAATTCCACATCGCGCATGGTATGGTACTTGCATATGTTGTGGTATGGTGTGGTGGCGGTATCATGCACGTGTCAGTCACTGATACGTTCTCGTGGTTTGGGTGCAACACTGAAAGTTATTCTCAACCGGTGCGCATGGCATGCGGGACGTCAGAAACTGGTTTATTCTCTATCCCGTCGTTGAGACTCAAGTCTGATTAATGCGCCTTTCTTATCGTCGATTGATTGTCGTCTCTTGAAAAAACGAACTGCCCGGCATATCAATGCATGCGCCTCTTTTTCCACGCTGCTTCAGGTTCTCGACCCTTGCGCTGAGCGATGGGCCGTAGTGGCTTCGATGAAGCGCTGTCGCACCGGGGTGGCCGCGACGGCGGGGCCAAATGGCCGACTCTACGCCGTTGGTGCGTGTGTTGTAGTTTCTCTGTCGTCTTTGATAGTGACGGTAGTGGTACCTTTGTCATCGTAGTTGTAGTAGTACCGTATATGACACAAGATAACACACCCCCTGGACCAATTTTCAAAGCTCGATTACGCCACGACGAAGAGGATGCATGAATAATACAATACATTTTCGGAAAGCTCTCGACGGGACAGCTTCAACGTCACCGTTTTCGGCGCTGTGACTCTTTCTGCCGTTGAGAAATCGAGATTGAAAATCGGTCCAGGGGGTGTGTTATCTTGTGTCATTTACATTAGTTGCTGTTGTCGCTGTATTGCTGTTGTTGTAGTAGTGGCTGTTGTCGCTGCATTGTTGTTTTCTCTGTGTTGTTGGATTTGGTGTTCTTGTGCACCTCTACAAAACGTGAAGAGCAAGGGGCGTGTTTGTTTCGACGATTGCCACGCGGCAGGGGTTAACAAGAGGTGTTTGGATGTGAGCCTTACCCTCGCCCCGACACCCAGGTACTGCTGTATCACTACACACAGTACAACACACATACTGGTAGCAGCTAGCGTTGTCTTGCGCGATTCAGTTGGAAAAAGGTACTAGGTAGAGGCCGGAAGGATTTTCAACGTGAACACAACAGCAACAACAACAAGAGCAACAACAACAACAGCAACTGTCGCCCGGGGTTTCCTGGTCGAAATAATTGCAGAGACCACGACAGCAATGTTCCTCGAGAGCCCGTGTTTGGTGTTGGGTGTGTCTTGATTTTTTTTGCACCAACCGCGATTTTACCGGCTAACCCATGGCCGGCGGAACAAACGTATGTTTGTGGGGATCGTATTGATTTAGTCTCGCGTCGATGGTGCTCGCAAGTACAACCGGCTGACCAATGAATGACGAGAGCCATACAGCGGGACGGAGCTCCCGTTCTTTGGGGTCCCCCGAAGCCGTGCTGTGTGTCTTTCTTTCCCGTTGCCGTGGACCCCACTCAACGGCTGACCAGTGCAGTACAAAACGTTCGCCTTGGCGGGGCAACGAAAAAGCCCAGAAGACGTTCTCGATTCTGCGGGGCTCCCCTGACAAGGGGAGCCGTGTGGGAGACAATCATCGTGACTCCTCTAATATCCTTCCTTTTCTATAGTTTTGGGCTGTGACGACTTTTTTTCGTGTGAAATGTTCGTGTTTTGCGTGTTTTTGTATTTGGACAAGGAAGGCGGTTCTTCGGATGGATCTCACGGGCTCTCGTCGGTGGAAACCTTGGACCCGCGAGAGGGGAAGTGGAGCGCCTCCCCCCGCATGGTCTTCGGGCGGGCGTTCTGCTGCGCGTCCTTCGGGGCGTCGGGCTGCCTGTACGTCGTTGGGGGCACGTCCTTGGCCACCGGAGTAATGAGGTGATACTTATGACCCCCCCCCCCCCCCCCCCCCC